CCAGGTTTTCAGCCTTTTTTTTTTTGAGGGAAAAATACAGTAGCTAATATCCAAGCAACAGAAGACTTCGCAGTTAGTTCTGAGCATAGTAAAACATAGTATAAAACTCTGGGGAAATGTAATATTGTTTACGTGAACATCAAATCAGATACTAGGCAGATTGCCTTGTTTCAAACCATCTCAAACCAGAGATCTATACCTTGTTAATTATGATCCCTGAAGAGTGAAATACCAGTTGAATAATAATAGAGCCATAGATGATGACATTCCGTATACAGTTTATACACAAGAACTATTGCAAAATTGTATTACTGAAGGTAGATTGCAATAAGATTTGTCTAAATCTTGGCTGATAATTTCCGTGAGAGAGTTCTGCATTTAATTATGCTTATGTTAATGCAGTGTTTCTTAATAATGGCCACTTTAAGGTGTGTGGACTTCAACTCCCAGAATTCCACAGCCATATATCCTGGCTGAGGAATTCTGGGAGTTGAAGTCCACACATCTTAAAGTGGCCAAGGTTGAGAAATACTGTGTTAATGTTTGTTTGTTTGTTTGTTTGTTTAGATACCCTGTTTGATGGCAGCATACGTTGGATAGCTGTGCTTATTTGCATGGCAGTCTGCATAATTGCGATGATTGCCCTCTTTGGCTGTTTCTGCTACAGGTAAACCATGTTGCAGCTTTAAGATGTTGCATTAAAACAGGATAGACTGGAAGTTTTAAAGGCAGTTTCGAGTTGAATCCAATTTGATTTATATCACTTTTGGTGGTTAAATGTGTAGAAAATTATATAAAGTGGAATAATACTCAGGACCTCCCACTACACAGTCTGTAGTGGAATGTAGGAAAAACTTTCAAGATTCATGGTCTTATTTGTGCTGGATATAAAATATTTTTAATGATTTGGAATCTGCATTCACCTATTTGCACGTTTAATGTTTATGGTTAATATATTCCTTTACATCATATAATCTTATATGAGATCCTGATGATATTTTGAGAAAATCTAGGTGATGATTTAAATTCATCTAATTTAGCTCCAGTTATTTAGCTTGATATAAGTTAAATAGCTTCATAGTAAGATGAAGAAAAGACGTTTTGTATATTATATTGTTATCCAGAGATAGAAATTAGGGGGCTCATTTATCACATACTTAAACCATGCATTTGAGGTGAGACACAAACGCTGTTCAGTTATTCATTTCTGTTTCAAGTAGATAACAACTGCGTAAAATCAACAATTAGGAAATTACTTACTAGTGTAAAAATGGAGAAAGTCTGTGGCATATAATTTTGAAATTACTTTTGACAAATTAGAATTTTGGTCATGAATGAAATCAAGATCCGTTGAATTGTAATCTGTTGTTCCTCCAGGCATTACTGCAAAGGGGTAGCAAAGAGACGACGTTACAATCGTGATTTGGAGCAGGATGAGGCCTTCATCCCAACTGGGGAATCATTAAAGGATCTTATTGACCAGTCCATCAGCTCTGGCAGTGGTTCAGGGCTGCCTCTGTTGGTAAGCCTGTGGTTCAAGAATTACGTTATTTATAGCAGACTTGTCAAGGTTTCTGCCACTAGGAAAGATGAGGTCCTGGCATGAAGGCTCAGTTTAACTGACTTTATCAGTTTAACTGATTTTTTGCTAATAACCCATCTTCTCAACTAACAATCAGTACCTGGTTAGAGCTAGATAAGATTCAACAAGTCTCAAAGCTGTTGGACTTAGCTTGTTTGTGGCTACGTAGGGATTCTAAACTGATCCTTCTTTTCAAGCCAACCCCTGGCTCTGCCATGCCTTCTCCTACGGCCTAAAGCAGTGATGGTGAACCTTTTAGACACCTGAGTGCCCAAACTGTGCGCGTGCACATGCCCAAACTGAAAGGTGTGCCCGTGCATGTGGACATGCATGGGTGCATGCACTGATATGCGTGCATGCTCAGCAGAGACCCGAAGACCAGCAGGAGGCAGGACATCCCAACACTGGCAGCGCAGCAAGAGGTAAGATCTTTTTCTTTCGTGAGCTTCTGTTTCATCCTTTGCAGGGAAACAGAAGCTCACGAAATAAACGCCACAGAGATCTGACCTTGGATGACGGGTCGCATGCCAGCAGAGAAGGCTTTGGGTGTCACCTCTTGCACACATGCCATAGGTTCACCATCACGGGCCTAAAGCATTCTTGAAGAAAAGCAAGCAAGATTAATTCAGTTCAAAGAATTTCGATTGCTACAATTGCTATATTCATTCCTGTTCTTTTCAGCTATGACATGTTTTAATTGAAAAGATAGCTGTTTTTGAACGAACCATTTACGTGCCTAATCTAAGAAATCCTCGAAGGGATCACCTTATTTTTTTTAGTTCATATCCTTTTTGTAAATAATAATAATAAAGCGTTCAAATGTGTCATCCACAGCTTGAGAATTCTGGGGTGCCTTTTTTTTCTTTTGTCAGGTGCAACGGACGATTGCCAAACAGATTCAGATGATCCAGCAGGTTGGAAAAGGGAGATACGGTGAAGTTTGGATGGGTAAATGGAGAGGGGAAAAGGTGGCTGTGAAAGTGTTTTCCACCCCCGAAGAAGCCAGCTGGTTTCGGGAAACAGAGATTTACCAGACAGTTCTTATGCGCCATGAAAATATTCTCGGTAAGCAAAGAGGCTCATGCTGTGACTATGTTATCATTGAAAGGATTTCATACATAATGCAACATTTCTAGCACAATATGAAAAGATGACAAAAAGTTTCTTATACAAGGTGTCGAGGTGTTTTTTTACTGGGTTCCCCTTGCATTGTTAGTTGTTAAGGCTTGAAATATTTTCTCCAGTAAAGTGAAACTTGGTGTTCTGACCGAGGCTTCCCAAGAGCATGAAGCAAACTCCTTGTCCCGACAAAAACCCCTTTTATTAATTTACTGTGAATTTTTCCCATTCACATCCAGCAAAGTCTTTCAAGGGAGGATTTACAGTCACAGACCTTATCTGGCTTGGAGAGCTGACAGGCCGATATCTGCAAAACCTGGCAAGGAGTCTCAGAGAGTCATGAACCAATTAATTAGTAATTAGTAATTTAATA